ATCTTTTAAAATACTTACATCTTTTCAAAATCTCTTGTCTTAAAAATGATGTTTAAAAAGCGATTATACCTTTTTGGCCTCTAACGCAGGCTTTCCCAACTACTTTACGCCAGAGATCATGATTGCATACAATAAAATTAAGACAAAATAAGTAAGAAAAGTACTAAGGGCAACAATATTATCCAAAATTTAATCTGGTATCTGATTATCTGAGATCTGATAATCTGATTATCAGCAGAATCAGATTAAAAAAAATCTGATAAACAGCTAATGATGTGAAAAGCCGTCTTTGGAACATATAAAACTTTGCTCCAATCCAGGCACCAAAAGCCTTTGAAGATTATGGTTTTTAAATGGAGGAAGCAGACTTTGAATAGCTGAAGTTGTAGCTCACAAAAATAGTAAATAATAGAAATGTAAAATGAAATAAATCAAATGTAGATATGTAGGGCACAATATATATGACCCTTAAAACAGACTTAGGAAATCACAGCTATGCAATGTGTAAAGGCATGATTTAGTAATTCTGCTTATCAGATTAAAAATAAATCAACACACTAGACAAATTTTTAAAAGATCATACACTGTCTTTTCTTCATTTTCTAAGAAACGATGTTAACCACAGATATGCCAGAACATGAATCTAAGTTTCTAAAAATCCTTAAAGGATAGAGATGATCGCAAAGCTGGTTTCCAAGAAGATACAAATACAGACAAATACAGGAGGGGCGTATATCTGCCGTCAGTGGACATTTTCCTCTTTATAAGGCTAAAATTTTAGAAAAATGTTTACAAACAAGTAATTTTTAAATAGTCCACTTCAAAACATTAAAAATGACCACTTCAAATACTTAAAGATTTATTGTTTGTGAAATACTTTATAATTAATTTAAGGCTCCCAATAATTCCATTAAAGCAATACGAAGTTACAGTAAGATTAACCTTTTTGCTTTTAAAATAAAAAGGAAGTCTTCCAATTAAATAGCAGACACACATTTATCTCTAATTCTTATGGAAAGCCCACTAAAATTAAAAGTATAAAAAGTTATAAACGAACAAGGAAATAAATGAAAACTGGTTAGAGCTGTGATAACCAGTTAGAGAGAAGGAAAGCTAACGTTTTAAGTGAGAAACTGGATCCATGCTCAGGAACTGGAGGCAAGAGGGGAGGCAGACGTGAGGGGTGTGTTAAAAATACAAGATATCTGACAGTCTGTGTAAGAAGCAGACTCTTCATTTCCCTTTCTGACTTATGGAGGCAGGTGACCGACCCTACCATAGACATGCAGATTAGTCTCTGAAGACATTAAACCAGAAAAGGTTTAAACGCAGGAACGCTGATTAATATAAAGAGACAGCACTGAATAAACCTATGTACTGACACTGTTTGACTTGGGGCCACGTCACCCCAACCTCTGCCTCTGCGGTTACTTTGCCTGCCACTTCTGTCTATCAAATCTCCCCTGTACATCTCCTGTAAGGATACTTAACACGGGACTTAGAACGCACCCAGATAATCCGGGATACTCTCTTCACCTCAAGATCCTTAAGTTAATTTTATCTGCAAAGACCCCTCTAAATAAGGCACATTTTACAGGTTCTAGGAATTAGAACACAGGCTTATCATTTTAGGGGCCACTGTTCCATCTCCTACACATAATTCAGCCAACACATCAATTAAAAATGAAGATATCCTACACCCTTTTCCAGAAAGCTACTGGTAAATGTGACCTTATCAAAATGAGAGTGAAAGCCAAGAGAAAATAAGACAGTCCTAGAAACAGAGGCTACTGCAAAGGAAAGAAGTAAACGGAATTCCCTGGGCAGTGATAAAGCAAACTCCAAGCGCACACCAGGGTAAAGAACAACCAGTCTAGATTATAGCAAGACGAACATGGAGAAAATAGGACTGAGAAGGGTTTAAAAAAAAAAAAAAAAAGAGGCAACTGTTACCTCTAGGAAAATAAAAACCATAGGAAAGCTAAGTTGAAGAATAAAGTATTATCATACCTACTTTGTTCAGGAGTAAATGATGTTCACATTGAATACTGATCTAGCTGAAAGCGTTAATATGCTACATCAGAAGGACACAGTATGGGAGGTACGGCAGCAAAGGAAAGAATGACAATTCTTTGTCCTCCATAAAAGGTATCTAATATTGACAAAAAAAAAATAGTCTAAATATTATTTAACATACAGAGGTCAATACCACAACCAAGATCTAAGAACTGAAAATGGTTACCTTAGAAGGGAGCAAAGCAAGGGGCCAAGAGGGATGGGGAAGAGCACTGGCAATTTCTTTAAGTCACTGGTTCCCTTTTGAAACTGTGTTCCTATTGCTTTGAAAATAAAATTCATTTATCGCCAAGAAAGGGAAAGGTTCTCAGAAAAGTGTCTTGTCCAGGATCATAACATAGTTAAGAAACATCTATCAAAATGCCTTAAAACTTCTTGTATCCACAGGAGTATGGAAATTCTTAAAAAGGGGCTCTTAAAAATAAATTCCCAAGTTTTGAGTGTTCCCAGGAATAAAAAAACAAAAACAAAACCAAAAACCAGACACAACCAAAAGCACTATTAATGTATGTTCATTTAATGGATCCAACCTCTAGTTTATATTATTACAATCCCATCCAGCTTTCTTAATATAAAAGTACTGGCTCTTCTTTGTTTTTGAACATAAGACATTAATGTCACAACTACAAATAACAGGTATAACAGGGTAAAGGAGCTGAAGACATAGGAAGGTATTTCCTGACGGCTATCCTGATAGACAGCTATCTACAGTCCACATGTGGATGAACTCTAATAGTAAAGATTTCATAGTATTAGGAATACAAGATACGAAGGCTGTGTTCTGACCCCTTAACCCCAGGAAAGGGACAACAGGAATTTCCCCAAAGCTCTTCTCCTCGATTGTCTGAGAAGGGAAGGGGCATGGAAAAGGTGCAATAGCAATGGGGCTAGGAAGAGGTAAAATATGAGAAAAAAAGAAAAATTTATTTTCTACTTAATTAATATCCCTCTTTATCCATTTCATTAATCTACGTCTCATTTCTGAATCGTGTTTTGGCACACTACTCCCACCTTTCCCTTCCCTCCTTCTCAACTGCTTTGAAGTCCACCTATTCCAAATAACCTACACAGGTTTACTGATCGATGTCCTAAATGAGCATGACCGTTACATCAAAATCCGCCCCCCGCAAACAGGGCACCCACTTAACTAACCTCTTACTGTACCTAATGATAATGTGCAGTCTAAACATACTAATTTAGAATTTTTTAATCTTATTTACTTGAAGTCATCTATCTCTACTGTAAGATTTTGAAAGATAGAAGGAAAGCACCAGGTACAACTAGGCAAGCATTTTTGATATTAGTAACTGACCCAATCACAAATACCATAGTACTTTAATATTATTCAGATGCAAAACCAAGTCCAATAAAAAAAAGTAAGTCTGGTGGTTTTTCCTTAAATATGAAAAGCCAAAGTGAAAGCAACATTTTTAAAAGAAATGTGCCAAGATATTGTTAGTTGGGATAAGAAGCTCTAGAAACAAATTACTTTTAGAGCAAACCCTCTTCGGTTTGACAGTGAAATAGGAAAAAAAAAAAGAAGTCAAAGGAAAAGTGTAAATGGTAAGAAAAAAAGGCAACAATGGTATAACTCATGAAAAAAATAATACCAAAGCAAAAACAAATGCCTCTATTAAAGTCGTTCTGAAATTAACAGAAAAAAGAAAAAGAGTAAGTCTGTCTTTCTCCATCTTCCTATTAACTCCTCACGCAATGCTGCTGGATCGTTCTCTAACTTTTAGAGTAAAATGTCCCTCGTGAGAACACAGCAGGTTAGATTTTTTTTTAACTAAAAAGTAATCATCCCCAAACACAGTATTCATGTGTTTATAATTACTTCTGACATGTTAAAACAGCAGCATCAGTGAGCATCAGTATTATGTAAATATTGAAAAATAATTTGGAGGGGTCCCTGGGTGGCTCAGTAGGCTAAGCACCTGCCTTTGGCCCCGCATCGGGCTCCCTGCTCAGCCCGTTTCTCCCTCTCCTCCTTGCTGGTGCTCCCTCTAGCTATCTCTGTCGCCATCTCTGTCTCTTTCTCAAATAAAATCTTTGAAAAAAATAAATAAATAAATAAATAAATAAATAAATAAATAAATAAAACCAATTTGGGTCCTTTAATATGTAAGAGAGACAAAGTTAAATAGCTTAGAAAACTTTTGTCAAATTTAGGCAAAACCGGCAGCTTAAAGAACTTGAAAAGTACCTCAGCTCTAGGTTAGCATGACATTCCTATATGCTATTCTTCCCAGAGTTTCGACTGGCAAAGCAAAGACAAAACGCTTACAACGGAGACTCCCGATTGATGCACTTTTTGTTGGCAATAGAAATTAAGCCATCAAACACACCAGTACTTTAATTAAAAAACAAAACCAAACAGAACAGCCCTTTTGTGAGTAAGGCAGATTTCAGAACTTTCACCTGGTACCTACTGGAGTCCGCAGGTCAACAGGACTGGAGAAGCAAAGTTATCAAGCCAAAGATCGTGAACAGGATTTATACTCTTCGTCCTCCAGCTAGTCAAACATCACCGAACAGCCTAAGTGCAAAGACTACCTTCCACTGTGTTCCCCAAAGCTCTGAACCTTCCTATTTTAGAAGTTAAACGCCATCACAATTACCTCTGTGGGCGAAGTTGCAAAGTGAAGCTGTACCCCTCACTCAGGTTTCTGTTCTCCAAAATGCACAAAAAGCAGGATTTCAGGTAAGAGAGACCTGGTATCTCTCACAGACTGACGTGAATCCACTGGTCCCTGAGTCCTAAGAGCAGCAGTATGTACGTCACCTCTAAATGGCAACTTCCATACTGAATAAATTATCATGAAACTTAAGAATACTAACTCTTAAATTTATAGTTTGCTTTTTCATCCCAAAACTTTAAGAACTAAAAGTCTGATGCACTGAGTCCTATATAAATGCTTTACCTGTTTGGCTTTCAAGTTCTTTCCAGTCGAACTTTTCTCACTTGTACTTGCATCCATCCCTCTCAGAACACTGATGAAATCCTTCTTGGAAACAGTCGATATCAACTTAGCACGTTTTCTAATAGAACTTCCAGCTTCTTTAACCTTTTCATCAACGTTCTTTTGGTGCTTCTGAACGGCGTTAAATAACTGTACCACACCCCTACAGAACATAAAATGACCAGAATAACATAGTTAAGTAACAGTTACACTAGAATACAAACTGTGAGGTTAAGAACAATGTGCTTTTACAGCTTAGGAAAGAGGCAAACATGTAATAGGCACTCAAATGAAAAGAGCCGAATCTAAAAAATGAACAAACGTTTCAATGAAAGAATACAAATTTCTGAATAGAGAATAAATACATATGGACTGATATGATTTTTCTTTTCAGCTTTCATCTTTCTCAATCAACTTTTGTGCAATTAGAACTAACAATTACTTTTAATGCAAGTATCTATCCCTCAAAATATATTATTACATAATAATTACATCACGATATAATGGATAGAGAACAGCCTCTACAGTTAGCTGTCTCACCCGGACACTACGGAAGATTTTCCAGATTTCAGTTTCTTCTATAAATGGAAAAAATAATACTCAAGTAGCTTAAAAAGAATTCAGTTATATTATCTGCAACTCTTATGATAAAAAACTAATTTTTTAAAAATTTATTTGAGAGAGAGGGAGAGCACACACACAGCAGACAGAGGGAGAAGCAGGCTCCCCTCTGAGCAGGGAGCCCAATGCAGGACTCTGTCCCACGACCCTGGGATCACGACCGAAGCCAGAGGCAGACACCTAACTGACTGAGCCACCTAGACACCCTGATACAAAAGTAATTTTACCCTGATATAAAACTAATTTTAAAGTCCTATTTTAAAATGAAATACTTATTTAAATATTTGTTCTATAGTTAAGTTCATTCCGAGAAGGATTCTGAAGACTGAGACCTGTAGTGTCCATCACAGCAGCCGTGAGCCACATGGAGCTGCTGAGCCATGCAATGCGGCCGTCTCGTCCAAACAGCACTATGCTTCAGGTTTAAAGCGGGACTGAATTTGTAAGACTTAATATGAAAAAAGAGACTTCTAATATCTCAACAAAAACTTTTTTTTTTAAAGATTTTATTTATTCATTTGACAGACAGAGATCACAAGCAGGCAGAGAGGCAGGCGGGGGGGGCGGGGAAGCAGGCTCCCCGCTGAGCAGAGAGCCCGATGCGGGGCTCGATCCCAGAACCCTGGGATCATGACCGGAGCCGAAGGCAGAGGCTTAACCCACGGAGCCACCCAGGTGCCCCTCACCAAAAACTTTTATATGGATTACATGATAAAATAAAAAATAATTTGAATATTTTGGGTTCAATAAAATACATTGGTACAATTTATTTATTTATTTATTTTTACCGTATTATCTAGATAGTACGTGGCTACAAAAAAGTTTTACATTATGTATGTGGCTCCCATTATATTTCTACTGGACAACACCAATTCAAACCATTACTATCCTTTCAAGGTCCACAATTCTGTCACCGGGAGAGGCACTCTGCCATGTACCTGGAGTATCCCTGCGTGTTCCTGCTACGTTTTTTAAGGATGTGAGGCCCTGACTATTTTTTACACCGGGCATTTCTGCGAGTTGAGTTTGTAGGGTGCAACCTTGAGAGATGAGGTAACCTCTCCCCCCAGACCAAGAGCAGGCTTGTTACCATTCACCATAAAAGCAGTGGATTCCCAAGTCGAGTGTTCTTCTGTAACACAACCCATTGCCTGCTCACGCATCCTTACAGGGCACCTGTGTTACCAATGAGGGACAAAGGAAACCAGTGGAAATGTGATGCTCTGGCTACTCTGACAAGAGGAATAAAGTCCTTTGTCTCTGACCCAAAAGTCTCTTCTCTTCTGGCAGTATAAAGGAAACTAACAGGCTAGCTTATTAGCTTGTAAGGAGGATAAAATTCCATACCCTTCAGAGCAGGGCTGAGGCCAAAGTGAGGAAAGGGAGGTGCATGTTATTAATTTAATTCTCAGAGAAATCCTGCAGGATAGATATTAATAGTCCACTGCTTTTATAGGTAAATAAAATGAAGTAAAAATTAGGTAGCATGCCCAAGGACACAGGTAATAAGTCAGTGCTGGGGTTTGAACCCAGCAGTCTGGCTCTATCTATGTCACTCTAGAACACCTACGTGGATTAAAAGATGACCCAATAATATAGGTAACTAGAAAATCAAAAATAGTTCCACTAAGTAGAACTGCTGTATTTTTCAAGTAGCAGCTCACATGTTCTCTCCTCTGTGCAATCTTCCCCAACGCCCCTGACAATCTCCTGCTGTAAGCTCCCAACACACAGGACATGCCTCTAGTCTCAGAGTCTGTAATTCCCACAGGTGAGTTGACAAGGGCCACCTGGCAGCCACCAGATTCTATTTATCTTTGGACACGGAGGACATCAATGTTTGGTGCCAATGGTAAAAAAAAAAAAATGCAGAGTGAAAGGACAGCATGAAGCTATTGTAATACATACTTGGTGATGCCCTAAGTATAATGTAAGATAACAACAATAATCACCTATAGTCATAAATTCAGATAACCATCGTAAGAGAAATGCATGTCTAATTACACTGTTCTCCTGACTACAGAAACAGTATGATTTGCACTAGGTTCAGACTAAATATACACTGAGGACGTTATATGCTTGCCTCATGAGACCTGTAAAATCTTTCGTTGAATTCAGGATTAAATAGGCAGGTTTTGATATAAATCACTTGGCTGAGAAGCAGAGCTTAAGATCAGGTCGAGTCAGAAATGGATCACCATCAAAGCTTTCGTATACTCACTTTTTAAAGGGCAGAACAGTCTTACCTTGTTGCAATTCTCTGAAGATTTCTCTCTGTTTCTTTGTCTTTGACAACATCTGGCTTTACTCTGCACATCATTTCCCATTCCCGCTTCTTATCAAGCTGTGTTATAAATATTGTTATGTGAAAGAATATTAGGCATTTTTGAAAGTGCAGCATACTTTGATATGATACTCTGTGAAAGGACAAAGGTAATAAATCACTCTGGCTTAGTGTGTCACAGGAACGGAAAAAACCCCACACTTTTAGGGGTTCAGCTCAGGGGGCCTGTGGTTAGCACTCTGCATGTCATGTGAGAAGCACAAAGTGAGTTTCTGTCAGGCTCTCTGACAGCGGGGGCCTGGACAGCTGCCAGTATACTGAGGCAAGAAGGACAAGGTAGGATGTGAGAGAGCCACACTCTTGACCTGCCACCACCAGATCATCAGAGGGAAGCATTAGAAAGACCCCAAACTACGGTCTTTGATAATCCCAAGTTTAAATACTGTTTATTTTCTCAGAAACTGTCTTTCTCAGCAGACAGAATAATTAAAAATTTGCATCAGCTTTTAAAATAATAGCATTGTATCCAGTAGTGCTCTGGTCCGAGGCACCTGACTTGACACCCCAATATACTGCATTGGTATATACTGCTGTCTCAGGCCAACATATCACCTACAATCAAATATATGGAATGTAATGAACTGATCACCAGGATGTTAGTAAGCATCAAAGGCAGTAATAAGAATCTGTGGTGGAAAAAAATCTCCTTTTATCAATTGCTTTTCTGCATCCATCTAACCTCTTATTTTTGTGTTAATGAAAATGTCTCATCATCGTTAAATCAAATTGTGCTCACCATAGATTAGCCTGATTTCTTTCTAAAGACTAGATTTCTCCCCAAATAAGATAATTTACTTTAACTGTTATGAAATTCACTATCAGATTATGGCAGAAATTTAGAAATCTTACTTTTAAGTTTAAAACAGTTAATTCTTAATTATTTGTAGTATCCAAGGCATGCACAATCCCAAAATAGTTTTTAACTGTTTGAAGTATAATTTTAAACTTATGATTAGAAATAAGTACTAGATAGTCCAGAAACTGATATTTAACAGTAAAAAACAATGATAATCTGCACAGACTCTACTCAGAAATACATAATAAGAGCATTTGTAGAGACTGTGCCCTTTTTCTTGTATCAACGTGTGTTTTCATCCATTATGTGAACAATATCAACTCCAGCACTCAAAGGACTGGCCTAGAGTTGAGTTAGAGACTCATTTGTTCTTGACTTCAAAATGTTCTTACTTTCACTAGAACACTGGGACTAGAGGTAATTAAGGATTCTGATATTTGTAAAGCTTCCTTCAGCTTTTGCCAGATAGTAATGATTCAAATTTTCAGTTGAAAAGCTATCAGTAAGATTTAGAGAAAAAACTTATCTTAAAGTAAAAAGAATATTGAAGAGCACAGTATGCTCTGTTTCTAAAAGCAACACTTAAAAAGTTCCATCTTTATACAGCTTTTGCAGAGTACTAGTATTTGGAACAAAGAAAATAATTCACCTTCAAACAAGATAAGGGGATGATGAACTTAAAAGGAAATATATTCCTTAAAAGGAAATATATGCCAATCTAAATCTACTTTTCTTTTGTTTCATTTTCCTTTCATTTTACCTATAAAGTACCTCTTGGAAATTAATACTTTTATATTGTCAGTATGATTGCATAAAGTTATTTTCCTAGAAAATAGTATTTATTTCACTAACCAAGTATTTTAGACACAGAAATACTTCATTGAGTACAAGGGATTTAAAAACCTTACTATTTCTCTTTATTTTTATAATACACAACAGCAAAATGAAGTCCAACTTTTGGCCTTGAATCAGCAGACTATCCTAGTTAAATGAGTGATTTAACAAAAGGTATAATGAATTTGAGTTTATCTAGCAGTGAAACAGTCCATTTCCGGAACTGCAACCAATCCCTGACAAGGACACCTTCACAGATTCATATTACAAAATAGGTTTTTAGCAAAAAGTAACTAACATGATTCTGTTGGTTCAGAATCTAATAATGTTAGCATACAGACAGCTAAACTGAATGAAATATTTAGACCCAGGAGTCACTGCCACATGAATAATTTATTTGACTTTAAAAGGTCAAGTTTCTCAGGAGTTTAATTTCTATTTCTTTGCTTAGATGATTAAAAAATGAACATGCTCAATGGAGTAATTTAGGCTAGGTTTCTGTACAAATGCTTGGTTATTCACCCCTATGTAAAAAGCAAGTTAAAGGGGCGCCTGGGTGGCTCAGTAGGTTAAAGCCTCTGCCTTCAGCTCAGGTCATGATCCCAGGATTCTGGGATCGAGCCCCACATCGGGCTCTCTGCTCAGCGGGGAGCCTGCTTCCTCCTCTCTCTGCCTGCCTCTCTGCCTGCTTGTGATCTCTGTCTGTCAAATAAACAAATAAAATCTTAAAAAAAAAAAAAAAAGTTAAAAAACTGGACTGTTAAGTGGACCAACACTGCCAGGAACAAGTTGGTACAGATAGGAACTAGACTAGACGAGGCAAACAATCTAATCTACAAAGCAACTGGTAAGACACACCTGTTTTCTCTTCTCTAGTCTCTCTTGCTTTAACTTTTCTTTTTCCTTTTCCAGCTCTCTGTTTTTGACCAGAATAGTGGATTTACTTTTAGGAGTTTTCTTGTTAAGAATTTTAGCCATGGCATCCGCCCAGCCCACATTAGTTCCAACACTAGCTTCGGCTGTATGTTCTTTTCCATTGCCACAGGGTTCAACTTCATCTTCATTGTCAGCTTCCACTGCTTCATCATCTGTAGAAAAGTGATCCTTTTCTGATTCACAACTTCCTACAGAACCTAAGAGTAGAAACAAATTAAACTTTAACACTGGAGGAACAGGTTGTCAAAGCCACGCCAGATCCCCAGAACCCATCATAAAGCTAACAGTTCTCCATCTGTCTCCATTTGCGCAAGAGAGGGCTTTGTAAGTCCCAAAGCTGCAGTCATAGCAGAGAGCAAAAGGACCCTCCATCCTACTGCCATCAACCCCCAAAGACCTGGCCCCACCACGCTGGGCTTCAGCACCCAGGACCCAGGCAGCAGAAACAAATCCAAAAGCCCACACCACCTTCTACTGTCTCCTACTGCAGATGCCGACATGGGAGCAGTGTAGAGTGTGTTCAAGTCCATAGGCCTTACTTGTGTCATTGAACTACTTAAAGAGACTAGTGAAAATTATTTTTAAAACGATTAACAAAAAACTTTAATCCATCAAGATAATGGAACAATGTTTCCATGGTACAGAGAAGTTAGATTAACCTCTCTGGGGATTTGACCCAGATATTTAAAAATCTGAATTAGTGTGTAGGAAAGTCTAAAAAACAAAACAAAACAAAACAGAACAAAACAACCAGCCTCCTTTCATAGAATTTGCATATGACATTATAAAATTAGATGTTTAACATTTCCAAAAAATGATCTCATAAAGTAATATCTGCCCAAGATACTGAAGACTCAATTGCACTGCTGGGTGACCAAATGACAGTATCAAGTTCTGAGCTGTAGACACAAAAGTGTACTGTTGGAATTGTATCCTGCACAACCTCCGAAAGAAGCATATACAGGTTATTTGCCAGCTAGTTCATCTTATAAGGTTCAAAGAGCTGGGATCAGTGGCTTGGCAGAAGTAAGAGTCTAGTTGGTAGCCTTACTTGAAAACTAACTCATTGAGAAGCTTTTACAGTTTATGTTTTGTGGCCTTTCTCAACTTCTGAAGTTCACCGAACTTACTAACAAGAGCACAAGCAGCCAGCACAGCCTGCAGACATCTACGTGATCCACAGCCTTCTGCACAGCTTCTGTTTTCTGTTCTTCAGAAGCCAGTGGAACTTACTAGGAAATACTTCAAAAGAGAAAATCATCCAATAGCTTGGTAACTCAGAATGTTCCTGAATAAGCAGAAGAGGAGTGAACAAAGCATGGCATTTCAGGAAGTGTGCGCTGGGTCCATGTGCGCATACAAAGCCAAGCATCACAACCAGAACTTCTCCTTCTATCTGAGAAGTCGGATTGTCTTTTGTTGTTACTTCGAAATAATGTGCCTACTCCTCAGCTCTAAGACCCCCTTTCTTCCTTAAGTCATTTCAAGAAAATGTGCATATTCTGATTTCAGATAACATCTTAGCCTTCTTTCCCCTCTTAATTCAGCTTATTGCCATGACCAAAATGAGAGGAGCTGAATGTACAACGGCCTGTTAACGTCTGAGTGATCCTCTCTTGTCTCTCGACCGTAAGCCATGAAGTAAGTAAGAGAGAACTGCCAGAAAGGTCCCACTTAGCTAATCATTATAACACCTGCAGTTTTGCTATTACTTTTGCACGATGCCTTTACTTAAGTGTTGGGAATTCATGAAATGCAAAAGATGTAAAAATAAATACTTAATACACTTAAGATAAAAATTTATAACCTTCGAAAACAGCAAATAAAAATATAAAAACATTTTACAGATGTAGAAAAAATGAACCTCAAACAGTTAAGGAAAAGTATCTTCAAAGTGTGCCAGTGTTATCAGAAAGTAAAGGAAATAATAAAGGAACTTATTAGTAATTCCACTGCCCTAATGTGCTGCACATTTCTTTTTCTTTTTCAAGATTTTATTTATTTATTTGTCAGAGAGAGAGAGAGAGAGAGCACAAGTAGGGGGAACAGCAGGCAGAGGGAGAGGCAAGCGGAGGGAGAAGCAGGCTCCCCGCCTAGCAAGGAGCCCGACATGGGACTTGCTCCCAGGACCCCAGGACCATGACCCAAGCCAAAGGCAGACGCCCAACTGACTGAGCCACCCAGGTGTCCCTACACATTTCTCAATAAAGAGAAAAAAAGTTTTAAATAGAGACTCATTTGCCACATATTTAATTTGAAGCCTTCTCTACATGCTGCACGCTGGGTAAATTTAAGAAATCTAAGGACACGGGATTCTAGGCTTTGACGTGCACATACAGGTGATTTAAGAACTTTATTATTTACGAAGTATTTTTAAAAGTATCTAGATTTTGCCAAACAAAAGCTGTTAGCACCATCATTCAATTCAATGAAACTAAGTGTCTACTTATACACCAGATTTCAGAGTCACACAATTTTTCCCTCAGAAGCAACTCCTGGGACCACTGTTCCTAGAAAGTACACTGAGAAGCAAAGTTTGAAGAATGTAATTACCTGAAAAATAAAGATGTTAATATTATACATGTTTTATTCCTCAGAGCCAGTAGCATTTCATAGGTATTAATAACAAAATACACAATTATCTGACAAGTGCTTTTTCTAATAAGAATTTATTTAAACGTAAAGAGGCAGAAAGGGCGTAAATGTCTGTGTGAATGAAGAATACTTGGGTGATTAAAAACAGAAGGTTTTACCAGCCCCGGGGAACATGTCCAAACTACAATACTGACATCTAGTGTTTTGTCCTGATGCATTCGCACACGGATAGCAACAATCTGACCTTCTCAGTTGCACTGCAAAGGCTGCCACAAGACTTTAGGACTGTACGAGCTATTCCAATTCTCTGCTTACAAACTTTGGCTCTTTTTCTTGCTATGTTTCTTATCCAGATTGACTACCACAGTATGCCTATTATAGGCACACAATAAATCCGTGAAAAGCCTTGTAACACCATTTTATACAACATGTATAAACCAATTTAACAAATTCAAAAAGAATCCACTAAATTGATCATTTTTATTTGTTTTTTTTTTTTAAAGAAGTTCTAGCTCAGAGGTGTCTGGCATTCACTACAAATGGAAATGATCATGTTTTATATAAATAAAAAAATGCCAATGTAATAAGGTCCTCCAGCATACTAAAAACCAGGATTTACTCCTAGGATACCAAAGATAAAACAAATCAGAAAGCAGAACTGGTTCTTAAAATTTTACAGTATCCTATGAAGATGAGATTTTTAAAAAATTTTTGACTAACTGACTTTAACAACACAAGTTAAGTGCATATATCTAGGGGCACCAGATAAGTAAAAAATTCCTTTGAAGCCTTCTGTTATCTTTAACATTAAACCCTAAGTTTGCATTCTATTTTTAGAATCTGGAAATTAAGGAAGGGCTACAAAAAACACTTACTGGAAGCAATAACTAAGGTTCCAATATAACTTTCCGCACTTATGGAAATGTTCTATTATCAAAGCTGCCTACTAGCCGCTGGGCATCAGAGGCTACTGAGTATTTCAAATGCAGCCAGTACAACTGAGGAACTTGATTTTTCATTTTGATAACTTTAAATTTAAAAAGCTCCATGTGGGAGCACGTGGATGGCTCAGTCAGTTAAATGGCTGACTCTTGATCTCAGGGTCTTGAGTTCTAGCCCCACAGTGGGCTTCACGCTGGTTGTGGAGCCTCTTTAAAAAAAAAAAAGAAAAAGCCACGGGCAGCAAGTGGAATACCAGCTACCACACTGGCACACTGGCAGGGCAGGGTTAAACTTCCAAGGTTCTGAGGTAGACACAGGCATTTCCCAACTCCCGCTGCCTTTTCTCCAAACTTCCAGCTCCCTTTCAAATTTACCATCAGTCCCTGATCCCAGATATGGTTAGCTGTTGGCTAGAAAGTGGGATAAAGTTTTAAGAAGACTCACAGTCCTTCAATATTTACTGCGCACTCATGAATGATGGTGAAGGGGAAAACAAAAAATCTAAGTCTCGGTTTCTCTCCTTGAAGAGGTCATATGTTTAGCAGGATAGATAAATCAGTTAACCAATCACAAAATTGGTTTTACAATATGCAAAATTCTAAGTGCTCTTCTTAAAAAAAAAAAAAAAAAGGCAACAAAGAAAGGGTGACTGTTTGGGGGTATTTTTTAATATTATATTAAAGTTGCTTCCTAGGTAAAGCAAGGGTTTGAATGACAGGAGACCGGAGGAGGCCAAAGAAGTAAGATTCTACAACCCAGGTGAACTGAAAAAGGCAGGGGGTATGATCACTAAATCTAGAACAGAAACTCCCTAGATCTGACTGAGTCAATGCCCTGCATAAAAATTAAAATTACGATATCATCATCATGATGGGCATTCCAGGCTGAATAAACCAGTATGTCCAAAGGCATGGGAATGTGAAAGAAGGTGAGATGTTTATGAAATGACAAGAAGTTCAGACTGGTTGAAACTGGATCTAAAAACTGGATAGTAAAAACTGAGTCTAAAAAGCTGGCTGGTTTATAAAAAAGCTGGTCTGATTTACTACCCAAGAAATAAAATACGTACATTAACCCCCAAATTAAAACCAAGTGGTTTAAAATTACAACGCTATAGGTATGTGTTTCCAGTAAGAGGCCAAACTGCTAGTGCTTTTCTCTCTTGGTACTTACCTTAGGCCTTTACTTTTAAAGTTTCTCTATTGGATTAAGAAGGTTGTTCTTTTAAAATACAAATACCATCTGGGAGCATTACGGTTATTGGTTAACATTTAACTTACTTCACACCTTCAGAATTACTCTAAATCAAACAGAATTCCTCATAAAAACTTGGTAGAGATCAGCTTGGTAGAGATTACTGTGTTCTGTTACGAACACAGAAGTCAGGCTGCCTGAATTCAATCTTACCTCCAGATACAAAATCCCCATCTGTAAAAATAGCAATAAAATAGTATTGACTTCATTGTGGTTTTGTGATACTTAAATGAGTTAATATATATTAACGCTCTTAAAAGAGTGCCTAGCCCATAGTAAACATTTAAGTGCTGATTACACACTACACACAGAGACACACACGATAAGAATTTTAATGTGGTTGTGGAGGAGAAATGAACAAGGAAGGAATACGTCTGGTAGCTGGAATCTCCAAGATGTGGGAGGT